GAGTCATTAAGCTTTTGCTTTAAGGAGTGGCTCTTACGTAGAGCAATGCAAAGAGAGAACGTTTTAGTATGCGATTGCCTGAACACAGAAGTTGCAGTCTGCCCCTGAAGCAGGTGCACAGTACTTGAAACAATCGATAATAAAAATTGTACTGTAGATTTCTAGCTGTTCTTGCACCCTAAATAGGGTGCCCATCTGATTTGGGCCATAATGGCTGCTTTAGATCAGTTCCATTCCTGAAGGGGGGCAGGTAGCCTAATCAAGAAGTTGGCACTAATGCTGTATTTTGGGGCTGGCAGCTGACATGGCCATTGTACAGATACCATCTAGAGAAATCGCTAGAAGCCTCCTATAGTGTTTCTGCTCCTCACTGTTGAGAGTGGGGACTTTTCCATCTTTAGTTTAAAAAGATTTAGCCTGAAAACTATTATTTAAAGTGTTCCAGAGTGAAAACTCTCTCCTTTTTAATCCATGTGAAAAATTATGTAGCTTGCTGTAGAAAGTATGCGTAAAAACCGTTATGTGACATGTATGTGTGAGGAAAATAGTCTTAATTTGAAATTTATTGGCTTGGAATTAAGAGATTTGATCTTTTTAAAACAGGGGTAGCCAGATAGTTAAGTGTGATGACAAGTTCGCAAGGTCGTGTCTGCTCATTAGCCATTAGGAAACTAAATATTTTAATATTAATTCCCTATTTTCTGTGATGATCAGACACCAAGACTGGCCTGAGTTTTGCGAGCAACTCCTACGGAGACTTTTCACCCACCACTCTGTCATGGCAATTTATTGTTGATAGGCAAAAATACGTAACTATCTGGTGGGTTTGTCCTGTCAAATAACCAAAGTACGGAGTGAACTGAGACCACCAAACAGTTAAACTACCTTTCTTACAAATAGCGGAAAATGTCCTAATGACAAAACAGGATTTCAGTAAATATGCTTTCTGAAATGTTCTTAATTTCTCTCTGCACTGGAAGGTGAAGTTCATCTGCATTAAAGTTAGAGGACCACCTAGGCCATCCTGTCCCCCCAAGCTTTAAAATTTTACATGGTTTTACTGGAGGGCAGCATAATACGTTACTGTCATTCCAAGTACTACAATAATGTTTTCTTCTTAATTGACAACTTGAAGCTTTGCATCTACCTAGCGAGCATTTCCTGTGGTGATTTTCTAATAGAGGGCCATGGCATCCTGATCTTAATACTCTGTTTAATGTTGAATAGAGTTTTTTTCCACATTACAGACGAGCATATTTTAAGAATGGCATCTCAAACATTTCATGTTTGGCCCTGCTGATTACTTTGGAGAAATCTGATTTTCTGTTTCTACCCTGTATGCCAATATGCAATTTATTTTCTATTTGCCTAAGCCAAAGCAAAGCATACCTTAATAACTGTAGAAGTGAGATTGCATTACCTGTTTCGTTGTTGATTTTCTAAAAATGCATGGTTTCTAGCCATTCCTGAAATGTGCTTTAAGCATATAAACAAGTAGTTTTAGGCAATACCTGTGCCAGTGTAAAATATTTTAACATAAAAATAGTTTTGCAGTGTCTTGATTTAATTTTTAAGGGGAAAATGTAAGACCCTCAGGTTTGCTGTTTCTGTCTGGTCCATGGTGTTGTAAGAGTCCAGCCATGCAGAAAAAATCACTAGCTTGGACTCTCATGGCCCCCTAAAAAGCTTTGTCTGTGGCAGCGTGTTAGTTCCATAAAAAAGTGAAGTAAGTTTTGCCTATGCAAGAGAGGGTAGATGCTAATCTTGACTGGCTTTGGGCCTAGACAGAATGTGAACAACTCGTGCCTTCTCCCTATTGTACTCTCTTTTATTCTGAATTTGCAAAGGTCTGGAGTAAAATTGTTGCTTTAGTGGGAATTATGCAGGTCAGCTGTGCCGCTGGTGTTGGCCGTAGGAGCTGCATCCCTTAAATCCGGTAACTGACTGTTAGTTCATCTTCACGCTTCAATATTGTAACTCTTAGGCCTGATCCAGGAAAGCACTTAAATGTCTGTGTAACTTTATGTGTGTGAATAGTTTTGCTGGTTCCGGTGGGAATACCGACACGCATCTGTGCTGAAGTGCTTTTCTGGATCGGGTCCTGTGTCTCCGCTGCAAGCCTCCAGGGATATGACAGCATTGTCAACCTAGCTATTCTGACAAGAATAGTCTAAATTTTAATTCTTAATTGAAGGTTCCCAAGAGAAGGTTATGCTTGGAAAACTCCTGTATTGACCTATCTAGGCAGGTATCTATTTTTAAAAGATGTAAAGAGGGAACATGTGGACAGTGAGAGATATGTGCTCTCAGCTTATCCAAAATGTGAGGTTTGAAATGTGTTTTGTCGTTAGGTGGAAATAAAAGAAAATTCTCTAAAACGTTGTATAGCTATGAAACAAGTTGAGTTTAAGGAAGCTTGCTGAAAGTACAGTACCTATACGCAGACATAAATGCATTCATTAGAAATACATAGTTTTAAATGTTTCCTTGTTTGGATCAATAGTACTGTCATTGATGTTTTGCTCTGCTTTTGTTAGGTGATGGTTGATAGTTGCCACTAGTATTTTGAAGTAATTAATTAGAATTATTGTTAAAGGAAAACATTTCTGCAGTAAGCTATACTTGTGTAAGCAATAACTGGGATATTTACACTGTGATTACTTTATTTTTTATTTTATTGTTTATTTTATTTTTTGACAAGAAGCTATATGTGATTGCCTCCGAATTCAGAACTTCTCTAGCAGAGGCATAGGCATATCAGATGTCACCAGCACAATGCATTCTAAGCCTAGCTAGCAAACCGCCTTTGTCAGCATATTTTAAAATAGATAATAAAGGATATGGAAGGTCTTGCATGACTGAGTGGTGAACTTCACTTTAACTGTGCATTTTGCAGTGCAAATCTTTAAAAGTGAAATCTCTAATGCTGCTTTTAGTTGATAAACTTTGCAGTTGTGGTTTGAGAAGCCTGCATAGCCACGAGACATTAGGTCTGTCTACTGTTCTGGCTTCAAGTATCAATGTTTTGTCAAGTCCTTTTCTCAAATGCTGTGAGGTCTTTAACATTGGTAGTTGCTATTTAAGTTCGGGCTGCAAAGATGATTAAGGGACTGGAGCACTTGTCATAGAAAGAGAAACTGAGAGAACTGGGAGTGTTCAGCCTGGGGATGAGGCTCAGGGGGATCTCATGAATGTGTATAAATACCTGATGGGAGGGAATGAAGAAGAGGAGGTCAGACTCTGCTCAGTCATGCCCACTATCAGGACAAGAGGCACTTCCAAATTTCAAATTCCATCTGAACACAAGAAAACACTTGCAGTCGAACACTTTAATGGATTGCCCAAAGAGGTTTTGAAATCTCCATCCGTAGAGATATTCAAAACCCAAATGGACATGATCCTGGGCAACGTGCTCTAGCTGACCTTGTTTCAGTGGGAGTGTTAGACAAGATGATGTTTGTCCTCAAGAGGCCCATACTACCTAAACGATTCTGTGATTTTGTAAAAGTGCATACGCATTTTTATATATAGTATGGATATGATAATATGCTTGTGATTTTATATATATATGATTTGCTTAAATTTTAGGAAATGTCTCTCGAAATAACTAATGCTAGCTGTGGGAGTAATTTTGGAGACAGCTTATAAAGGAATACAGATTTCTTCTGTCCCACCCCATTTCTCTCATTCTCACACAAGTGCACATGCAGGAAAAACAATGCCTGATCTTGGTTTTTATGTTGTTTGGGTTTTTTTTTTTAAATTAGTTTTCTTGATTTGGGCAGCATCAGGTGGTTGTTTGGTTTTGCATTCCCTCCAGACATTCTCATTCTTCATCAGTGTTTACTTAACTAGATAGCATAAATGTTCTAAGAGCTGCTAAACCAGGTAACTTGGTTTGTATTTTTTAAGGAGAAAAAAAGTTTTTAAAGGTAAAAATGGTAGAGTAGAACTTTGCTAGTTTTGTATATGTGGGAGAAAGTACAGTTGCAAGTACTGAATGCAACCCAGTATCTGCAGAATTAGACCAAGGCTGAGAATTGACATGTGTAAATAAGTGTGTTTTTCTAAGATTTTAGTAAGAAAAGAATTTATCAATAAATAGAGACAATGTAGTCTTGATTCAATATTTGGATTTAGAAGACCAACGTTTCTTCTCATATGCTTTTAATGGAACCAGAAATGTTGGAAATTGTTTCCCCCTCTCCCTCCAAATGTGATTATAACAATGTGAGATTGAAAATTGATGTGTCTTGTTATGCACGTTAGATCAAGAACCATTTTCAAGTGCACACTGAATTTTATGGATGAATTATAAAAATATATGATACGTACACCTTAGGAAATGTTACATTAGATAAATAAGACAGTGAAAAGTTACTCCATTCTTTATAAAATGTTTATGTGTTTCTACATATCGGTGGTTTAAGGTTAAAGGATATTTCAGAGTTTAATTTTAAATGTTACATATGCATTTAGTATGGATACAGCGAAAAGATTTAGTGTACACAGTTATGTCTATGAACTCTGTGGCCTGAAAAAACTTTTTTAATGTAGTGATAAAAGTTTGAAATCTCCTTTAGTCTTTGCTTGAATTATTCAATTAAAAACTTTGATTAATATACAATTCATGTCTTGTGTCTAACAGTGAAAAAGGATTCTGCCATATTTTTTTATTATTTCCATGTTAAAAAAGAAAGATATTAAATATAGACAAGTTTTTTTTAAAAAATAGCAAATGCAATTACGTGATTCTGAGTTTTCAGATAAAACCCATAGTTGTTTTCTGATTCTATTTTTCAGTTTCCATAGCTAGACGCGTCCAAGACCCATTAGCTGAGCTAGTGAAAATTGAGCCCAAACACATAGGAGTTGGAATGTATCAGGTAAGATAATATGTATCATTTAATCTAAGTAATCTATCATTATAACGGAGCAAGACAAAAATGCTGCTTTATACTCATCATCTAGGTATGTCTGCTTTAAAAGACATTTGTAAAGGTGATAGAATGGCAGTAAATACTTAGAAGTCATAAACTGCCTCTTTTTTTTAATCTCTACTTTTAACAATTGTGATTGAGACTCTGAAATGGCTGTAGCCAGATGTATAGTCTATTAAAAACATCAAATCAGACAGGTAACCTGATCTTTCTCTTTTTTGTACTGTTAGAGCTAGGGGGTTTGGCTCTTTGTGTAAAATACAATGAGATCTTGATCCTCCATTTAGAAGCCCGTAATTTGTACTGTTTAGGTGCATTCCTTCCTAGAAGTTTGTAATAAAAGCATTTGTTTTGAAGTTTTTCATTTACTAAAACTGAATTGGAAAATGTTTGACAATTTTATTTTTATACATTCTTGTTGGTTATTTCTGAGAAATAACATTTACCTTCCAAGAGTCTTTACAAAGTGAATGGTGGTGAGAAGTGACACATAAGGTACTGTCATTTTTTAGTACATTGGCATCAATTCAGGAATGCATTTATGCATGTCCCACCAAACAGAGAAGTAAAAAAAAAATTAAAAAATCCAGCATGTACTTTTCTCTATATTTTTGAAACTATAGAATGTGAGTAAATAAGAAAGACTGGAGCAGAATTCAAAACAGAAGGCACAGAAGTGTCTGGATCTGCACTTTCAGGTTAATGCATGAGAGTTAATGGGATAGGAGGCAATTAGCAGCCTAGAATCCTTTAATGCCACTGCTAAAGGTGGTATGACAAGGAAGGTGCTATGAAAAACTTCAAAGTAGTGTATATCCGGTTTTGTTTTTAAAGAACTGGTGTCAGCATTTTAGTTGGTTAAGATGGTGCTGCTGGTCATATGGTTTTGGGAGCGTGATATTACCAGGCAAATGTTGCAGGGAACACATTGCAGCAAAATATCTTAATGACTGAAACTGGCATCATTTACTTTTGAGTGAAACTAAGCAGGGTAAGTACCATGTTCCTGGCCCTTTCAAGGAAGCTTATTGGTCCAGTCCAGGTGTTTTACAAGTAAATGCCCTACTGTGTTATTCGTTGTATTGGCTGTATGAAAAGCTTCAGAAAAATAATTTCTAAACATCTGGTAGAGATAGACTCAAAAATTGTTCATTCCTAGCTATCTGTACTTTTAGGTCTTATCACCGTTTCATAGAATCATAGAATGGCCTAGGCTGAAAGTTTGAATAAATCCTTTAAGGTGGATATACCTCCTGCCAGAATTCTTAAGTATCACCACAGATGCTATAAGATATAGCTTCAAAGATATAGAAATTTCTGGGGTACTGTCACTTTATGTGACACTGTTGAAAGAAAATTTACACTCTTGAAAGCAAAGTCAGAAGCTCTGTTGCCCTTTGGGTGTGAGAGCTCTCTCGTGGCAGGGGAGGCAAGGGAGCAGAAGAGGAATTAAGCTGTTATGACTGGTCTTCCATCAGAGAGAACAGTCACTTGCTGGTGTCTCAGAGTGCAGGCATGGAAGAAGCTGTTGTTTTTGTTGTTTTCTACAGGGAGTCCCAGAGAAATAGCTGGTATAATACCTCCAATAAGGAGTATATCATGTACAGATGTTTATATTATCCAGGACAATTTGAAAGGTTTTATTATGTTTTAATTTATAATTTTATAATTGCTGGCTGTTGCACGTTTTGTCCCAGAAGCTAATAAAAAAAACTATGTTCAGTCTAGATAGAAAATGGAAAGTGGCTTTACACAGAGGTGATTACTCTCTTAGGCTACTGTAACTATAAGCCTAGCATTTAAATCTGACCTTTCTTAACCTTAAAATTGATATTTAAGAATCTGATAAACCCAGGTTTTGGCTTTCTTGTCCTGAAGGACAGAGAGCCATTAGTCCTGCATTCTTTAGGCAGAGGCAGGCTTAGGCCTTGTGCTGCTGCTGATGACGGTGGGAGCCGT